GTTGCCCCCATTGCCCCCCATTGCCCCCCATTGCTTCCCATTGCCCCCCATTGCCTTCCAGTGTCTCTCATTGCCCCCCACTGCCCCCCATCGCCCCCCAATGCTTCCCATTGCCTCCCATTGACCCCTGGTGCCCTCCATTGCCCTCCAGTGCCCCCCAGTGCCCCCCATTTCCTCCCAGTCCCTCCCACTGCTTCCCAGTGTCTCTGGCTGCGTTCTGCGCAGTGCCCCCCAGGGAACCACTGGCCATTGTGGCCACCAGGGCACACTGCTGCCTCCTGGTCACCCTGTTGTCAGTCCATTGGCCACCACTGGCCTTCGTGGCCATCAGGGCACATTGCTGCCTCGTGGCCAACTTCTGTTCACCCCCTGGTCACCCTGTTGGTCAACCCTTGGTCAACCCATTGGCTACCACTTGTCCTTGTGGCCACCAGGACACATTGCTGCCTCCTGGTCACTCTGTTGGCCAACTCATTGGCCACCACTGGCCTTTGTGGCCACCAAGGCTCACTTCTGCCTCATGGCCAACCTCCATTCACCCCTTGGTCACCCTGTTGGTCAGCCCTTGGTCAACCCATTGGCCACCACTTGTCCTTGTGGCCACCAGGACACATTGCTGCCTCCTGGTCACTCTGTTGGCCAACTCTTTGGCCACCACTGGCCTTTGTGGCCACCAAGGCTCACTACTTCCTCATGGTCACCCTGTTGGTCAACCCTTGGTCAACCCATTGGCTACCACTTGTCCTTGTGGCCACCAGGACACATTGCTGCCTCCTGGTCACTCTGTTGGCCAACTCTTTGGCCACAATTGGCCTTTGTGACCACCAAGGCTCACTTCTGCCTCGCAGTCCCCCTGTTGGACCCCCACGCCCTCCTCCCCACAGCTCCTTCCCCACAGCTCAGCCCCCGATCCTCACATTCCCCGTGTTTCCTGATAGCCCTCAGCCACTTCTGAGTGCCACCACCCATCACGAGTGCTGCAGGCCCGGGGGGGGCACAGGGCGGGCACCCAGTGAGAACAATTCCGGGCATTGATGGCGCAGGGCTGCGTGCTGGGCTTTGATGTCAGCGCTTCCTTCCTGCCCCCAGCACAGTCAGCAATGCTGGCACAGCCACGCGGCCCCACGCAGCCCAACATGATGAGGATGGGGGGCAGCGCTGGGGGTGACATCGGGGTTGGGGTGACATCGGGGTCGGGGTGACACCAGGGTTGGGGTGACATCGGGGTCGGGGTGACATCGGGGTCGGGGTGACAACAGGGTTGGGGTGACATCGGGGTTGGGGTGACATCGGGGTCGGGGTGACATCGGGGTTGGGGTGACGCCGGGGTCGTGGTGATGTTGGGGTGGCAGGGACACGATGGTCATGGTGACATCGGGGTCACAGTGACATTCGGGTCATGGTGACATCGGGGTTGTGGAGACAGTGGGGTCACGGTGCAATTGGGGTCGTGGTGATGTTGGGGTGGCAGGGACACTATGGTCACGGTGAATCAGGGTCACGTTAACATTGGGGTCACGGTGACATCGGGGTCGTGGTGACACCGGGGTTGGGGTGACACTGGGGTCATGGTGATGTTGGGGTGGCAGGGACACTATGGTGAATCAGGGTCATGTTAACATTGGGGTCGTGGTGACATTGGGGTCGTGGTGACATTGGGCTCACATTAACATTGGGGTCGTGGTGACATCAGGGTCATGGTGACACTGGGGTCATGGTGATGTTGGGGTGGCAGGGACACTATGGTCATGGTGACATCGGGGTCATGGTGACATCGGGGTCACGGTGAAATTGGGGTCGTGGTGATGTTGGGGTGGCAGGGACACTATGGTGAATCAGGGTCATGTTAACATTGGGGTCATGGTGACATCGGGGTTGTGGAGACTGCGGGGTCATTGTGAAATTGGGGTCGTGGTGACATCAGGGTCATGGTGATGTTGGGGTGGCAGGGACACTATGGTCATGGTGACATCGGGGTCACGGTGACATAGGGGTCGTGGTGACATCGGGGTCATGGAGACAGCAGGGTCACGGTGAAATTGGGGTCATGGTGATGTTGGGGTGGCAGGGACACTATGGTCACGGTGAATCAGGGTCACATTAACATTGGGGTCGTGGTGACATTGGGGTCGTGGTGACATTGGGCTCACATTAACATTGGGGTCATGGTGACTTTGGGGTCATGGTGATGTTGGGGTGGCAGGGACACTAAGATCATGGTGAATCAGTGTCACATTAACATTGGGGCCACGGTGACATCGGGGTCATGGTGACATTGGGGTCACATTACCATTGGGGTCGTGGTGACATCGGGGTCATGGTGACATTGGGGTCACATTAACATCGGGGTCATGGTGACATCGGGGTTATGGTGATGTTGGGGTGGCAGGGACACTATGGTCACGGTGACATCAGGGTCACGGTGACATTGGGGTCACATTAACGTTGGGATCATGGTGACATCGGGGTCATGGTGACAGTGAGCTCACATTAACATTGGGGTCATGGTGACTTTGGGGTCATGGTGATGTTGGGGTGGTAGGGACACTATGGTCACGGTGACATTGGGGTCACATTAATATTGGGGTCACAGTGACATCGGGGTCACGGTGACAATGGGGTCACATTAACATTGGGGTCATGGTGACATTGGGGTCGTGGTGATGTTGGGGTGACAGGGACACTATGGTCACGGTGACATCAGGGTCACAGTGACATTGGGGTCACAGAGACATCGGGGCTGTGGGTGACACTGGGGTCACAGATACATTGGGGTCACGGCTCTATAGGGGTCATGGTGCCATTGGGGTCGTGGTGCCATTGGGGCCACAGTGACATCGGGGCTGTGGGTGCCATTGGGGGCATGGATACATTGGGGTCACGGCTCCATAGGGATCGCGGTGCCATTGGGGTCAGGGTGCCATTGGGGTCACAGTGATAGTAGGGCTGTGGGTGCCATTGGGGTCACAGCTCTATAGGGGTCGCGGTGCCATTGGGGTCAGGGTGCCATTGAGGTCACAGAGACATCAGGGCTGTGGGTGACATTGGGGTCACAGATACATTGGGGTCACGGCTCTATAGGGGTCAGGGTGCCATTGGGGTCGTGGTGCCATTGGGGGCAGAGTGCTATTGGGGTCACAGTGATATTAGGGCTGTGGGTGCCACTGGGGGCATGGGTCACAGCTCTATAGGGGTCACGGCTCTATAGGGATCGTGGTGCCATTGGGGTCAGGGTGCCATTGGGGTCACAGTGAATTAGGGCTGTGGGTGACATTGGGGTCACAGCCATATAGGGGTTGTGGTGCCATTGGGGTTGTGGTGCCATTGGGGTCAGAGTGCTATTGGGGTCACAGTGACATTGGGGCTGTGGGTGCCACCGGGGGCATGGATACATTGGGGTCATGGCTCTATAGGGATCGTGGTGCCATTGGGGTCAGGGTGCCATTGGGGTCACAGTGATATTAGGGCTGTGGGTGCCATTGGGGTCACAGCTCTATAGGGGTTGTGGTGACATTGGGGTCAGGGTGCCATTGAGGTCACAGAGACATCAGGGCTGTGGGTGACACTGGGGTCACAGATAGATTGGGGTCGCAGTGCCATTGGGGTCGTGGTGCCATTGGGGGCATGGATACATTGGGGTCACAGCTCTATAGGGATTATGGTGCCAGTGGGGTCAGGATGCCATTGGGGTCACAGCGACATCGGGGCTGTGGGTGCCATTGGGGTCACAGCTATATAGGGGTCGCGATGCCATTGGGGTCAGGGTGCCATTGGGGTCAGAGTGCCTTTGGGGTCACAGTGATATTAGGGCTGTGGGTGCCATTGGGGGCACGGCTCTATAGGGGTCGCGGTGCCATTGGGGTCGTGGTGCCATTGGGGCCACAGAGACATCGGGGCTGTGGGTGACATTGGGGTCACAGATAGATTGGGGTCACGGCTCTATAGGGGTCAGGGTGCCATTGGGGTTACAGTGACATGGGGGCTGTGGGTGCCATTGGGGGCATGGATACATTGGGATCACAGCTCTATAGGGATCGTGGTGCCATTGGGGTCACGGCTCTGTAGGGGTCAGGGTGCTATTAGGGTCACAGCTCTATAGGGGTCACGGCTCTATAGGGGTCGCGGTGCCATTGGGGTCGCGGTGCCATCGGGGCTGTGGGTGCCATTGTGTCACGTCTCTATCGGGGTCGCGATGCCTGGGGGCAGCGGCTCCCTGCTGTCCGCACCCGGAGCCCCCCGGACCCGCCGCCCTCGTAACGACCCCGCGGAGCCCCCCGCCCCTCCGCAACTCTCACGGACCGCCGCCCCCTCCCCCCCCCCGCCGCCTCGCAGCCCCCCTCAGCCCCGAGGACCCACAGCCCTCCGGGGACCCATAGCCCTCCGGGGACCCACAGCCCTCCGGGTTCCCCCCCCCCCCCCCCCCCCCCCCCCCCCCCCCCCCCCCCCCCCCCCCCCCCCCCCCCCCCCCCCCCCCCCCCCCCCCCCCCCGTGTCCGCTCACCGCCGCCCCCGCTCCCGCCCAACGCCGCCGCCGCCGCCGCATTCCACGCGCCGGCCCGACTGCGCTCGGCTGCGCTCGGAGCGCTTCGGCTACCGGAACTCCATTCGGGAGCGCTCGGCAGTGCTCGGGTCTATTCGGACCCGCTCGGGTTCACTCGGCGCCGCTCGGCTCGGGACCGCTCGGAGCCGTTCGGAGCCGTTCGGCTCAAGATCGCTCGCGTCCGTTCGGCGCCGCTCGGCTGGGAAGAGCTCGGGTCCATTCGGACCCAATCGGGTTCACTCAGCGCCGCTCGGCTCGGGACCGCTCGGCACCTCTCGGCTCGGGACCGCTCGGGTCCGTTCGGCACCACTCGGCTCGGAACCGCTCGGGTCCGTTCGGACCCACTCGGCTCGGGACCGCTCGGGTCCGTTCGGCGCCGCTCGGCTCGGGACCGCTGGGGAGTTGGCGCGGAGCCGCCTCTGCTCGCCGCGCAGCGCGGTTCTTTTGGGGCAAAATGCCTTTTTTTGCGGGTCCTGCTATAATTCCGGCTCTTTTCCACCAGGAAAACATTGGTTTTCCATCACCTCAGCGCCTCCCGTGAGAACTGGAGCTGACACTTCGTGAGACCTCAGACCGGAGAACCACCACCACCCCAGAAAAAAGCCCAAAAAGAGCCGAAGAGGATTCCCCAAAAACGCCCAAATCCCCCCAAACCGCCCCCAAAGCCCAGCCGGCAGCGCGGGGCTCTCACCCATCTCCGGGGCGCTGCGGGGCTCCGTGCGCTGCTCCCCAGCCATGCTGCTCCGCGTCCCCGCCGTCCCCACCGCCCTATAAGTGCGGTCCCCACCCGTGGGCAGAGTCCCCAGTGGGGCACGGGGCCACCTGCCGCCCCCCGAACGGCTTTGATGTGCGTCCCGATGGCTCCCGGCCCCTTATCGCGGCCGTCCTCATTAACAGTGCAGCCGTAATTAGCGCGGGGTCTGGACTCTGCTCCTCCGCACCGTTCCCCCGATTACCCCAAACGGGCACCGCTGCACGCGGCGCTGATAATGCCTTATCGGGATCAATGGGGCGGCTATCGGCGACCTGAACCCTACGGCTGTGGGGCTGATAACCCTCGGCTCCGGGACGGGCCGAAAAGCCGCGGTGCCGTTTGATAAAGGAGAGCTGAACGCCCGCCCGCAGGCGGCGGGCACGTATGGGGAGCGGAGTGCGTGACCGTCCCCATGTGCTGGACGGGGTTGGCATCGGGCGGGGAGCCGCGGTGTGGGGCAGGGTGGGGCTGGAGGGGGGGTGGGGGGGTCAGGGGTGGCTGGTGGAGGAGGAGGTCATGGGGCAACGGTGCGTCGTGGTGGATTAAAGCATCACGGCGTCGCGGCTGACTGCTGGTGGTCAGCTGTTCGCCATGAGCCAGCAGTGTCACCTGGCGGCCAAGGTGGACAATGGGGTTTCCATTGGCCAATGGTTGAGCAAGAGGGTGACAATGTGTCTTCGTGGCCAAGAGGGCCAATAGGGTCCTGGTTGGTCAATGGTTGGCTAAAAGGGTGACAATGAGCCAGCAGTGTGAGCTGGTGACCAAAAGGGCCAGCAGGGTCCTGGTTGGCCAATGGTTGACCAAAAGGGTGACAATGAGCCCGCAGTGTGAGCTGGCAACCAAGAGGGTCAAACAGGGTCTTGGTCGGCCAATGGTTGGTCAAGAGGGTGACAATGAGCCAGCAGTGTGAGCTGGTGACCAAGAGGGCCAGCAGGGTCCTGGTTGGTCGATGGTTGGTCAAGAAGGGGGCAATGAGCCAGCAGTGTGAGCTGGTGAACCAATGGTGACCAAGAGTTGACCAAGGGTTGAGCACAGGGTGTTTGTGAGCCAGCAGCGTGCCCTCGTGGCCAAACTGGCCAATGGTGACCCGGTTGGCCAATGGCTGACCACAGGCTGACCGGTGACTGACCAGCAGTTGGCCAGTGGCTGAGCACAGCCCACGAAGCAGCACTGTGCCCCGCTGGCCGAAGGCTCCCTGTGGGGCACCGCACGGAGCACAGCCAGCAGGCAGGGAGCAGCTCCCCGCTCTGCGCTGGGAGCCCCATCCGGAGCGCTGGGCCCGGTGCTGGGCTCTCTCCCCAGTTTGGGGCAGACTGGGAGGTGCTGGGAGCCCCTCCTGGTGGAGATGGGCTGAGAGCCCCGGGGAGAAAAGGAGAGCGGGGCTCCGCGCAGCGCTGATCCACTCCTGGCGGGGGATGAGGCCGCGCTCCGCCGGGAGCCCCGCTCAGAACAGCCGCTCCATTCGGGGCTCCATTCCAAGATGGCTGCTGCCACGTCTTCCGGCGCCGCTTCCGCCCTCTTTCACGTGACCGCAACACAACCGTTTCCTTTTCCGGTCACGTGCCCCCTCCCCCGCCGCCGCCAAGATGGCGCTGTGCAGGGCGGGCCGCTGCGGGGCGGTGCGGCTGTGGGGTTCCGCTCCTCCCCTTCTGGCGGCGCTCAGGTGAGCGGGGCCGGGCCGGGGGTGGCCGCGGGGTCGGATGCGGGGCGTTGGGTTTCCCCCGGAGCGCCGGTGCCGATCGTGGAGCCCCGCGGTTGTCGGGCCCGCAGCCCACGGGGATCCCCGGCGCGGTTGTGGGGCCCTCTGAGATCTCCTCCCCCTCCTCCGGTGGTCGTGGGCCGCCGCGCGCGCTCCCGGTGCCGCCCCCGGCCCTCAGCGCCACAGTGCTGTTATCCATAGACCCCCCCAGACCCCAAGTAACGGCCCTGCGGTCCCCCAGACCCGCTGCCCCAGGCACGGAGCTCTTGGGTAAAGGCCATGGACAAATCCCCCCCAGACCCCCAGTATCGGCTGAGATCTCCAGGCGGGGGCTGCGGACCCCCCTCAGACCCCCCACGTACCAGATGTAGATCTCCAGTTATGCCTGTGGATCCCCTTAACACCTCCCAGGCCCCCCAAGTACCAGATGTGGACCCCTGAGTATTGGCTTAGGCCTCCAGATATTGGCCACCGACCCCCCTCAGACCCCCAGGTTCAGTTGTGCCCCCCCAAATACCAGATGTAG